CAACGGGATTAGATTCATTTTTTGAGACTGCTGGTCAAGGATCATGCTTATTACAATTAATTAAGGTAGTATTATTCCTAAAATATAACATAATAATAGAATTTTAGTTTTTACTATCCTTAAATGTCAACGAAATTGCTATACGATTTACGAAAATTAGTAAAGTTCATCGTGGTAACAGAAATATGAAAAAGTCATAACACATTATCATACAGTTCTCCCTTAATAGTGCTGCGTCAGCGAGGTCACGTGACTAGTATCACGCCACTTCTTTCTCGAACTTTCGTGAGATTACTAGATTGGGGGTATACTGGTATATATAAGATGGTCACAACGTGACGGAACAGTGTAATGAGTAATTGAATGTATGCGGACAAAATATTGTTGGCCTCGTGAAACGTGAATTATAGTGTTGTTATAGAGTGACTGTTAAAATTAAGTGTATTGTAAAGTTGTATTCGGAAAGAATAAACCAGTTTTATTTAAGAAAGGACTTGTGTCGCTAAAGTTTCGTCGGAACGAAGTTACGGAAAATCAACTAACAAACGGAGACGTAACAAATTGGTGTCAGAGAGTGGGACAGAAAATAAAAAAAAGAAGTAGAAGATGGAAACGAGAGGCGGAAAATCAAACTACAGCTTAGCAGATTTGATGGCAGCAATACAAGAACAGCAAAAGAAACAAGAAGAACGTGAAGAGAAATTACAACAGTTGTTAGAGGAAAAAGAAAATAAACAAGAAGAACGAGAAGAGAAATTACAACAGTTGTTAGAGGAAAAAGAAAAGAAACAAGAAGAGAGATTACAGCAGTTGTTGGAGGAGAAAGAAAATAAACAAGAAGAGAAATTACAGCAGTTGTTAGAGGAGAAAGAAAATAAACAAGAAGAACGAGAAAAGAAACAAGAAGAGAGACTACAGCAGTGGCAACTGGAACAAGAAAGGAAACAAGAAGTACAAATGGAAAACATTAGTAAATTTAAAAGCGAATTAGATACGTTAAAGGACGATTTATTGTCTTTTACACAAGGAGGATACATTGACCATCGACTTAATCAGCCCCAGACAATGACAAGCCCCTTCCAGAGTCCGCAGCTAAACCCTGTTAGAAGTCACATCTCAGATATGAATGTCAGTACTAGGAGTGATCCAGTGTGAAGGAAG